AGCTGCATCCTGAGCACGACCGCAGCGACAATCTCAAAGTGTCGCCACCTCAAAAACAAATGTAATACAAGATCGTTCATGTCGGCTCATATGCTGTCATGCTTTCTGTCCTTTAGGTGTGCCTGATGCGTTTAACTGCTGCGGTGCAGAGCGCATCACCTGTTTCATCCTCCGGTGACTTCACCGTGCCGGTGCGCCCAGCGCGCACTCCGCTGTTTTTGCAGTCGGTAGATCTTTTAGAAGTGCAGTTCAGAGGTAACTCATGAGGTGCATATGTATGAACCTGGGGGGGGGGGGGCATTAATTCAGGCCGGGAATTTTGAAACCATCCCAGGCAACCGCCCGTTTCACGCTGAACACTAAAAGTGGGTGAGGTTGGGCGCCTACTGATGTAAAAGTGTAAGACAACTCAATTAAAACTTCCCATGTGCCCTGATGCTTTACTCTAAGATATAAATATTTGTGTTCTGCTGCTATAATCTATATTTATGTTGCATAAACTGAAATTATATTTTATTCTGTTAAACGTGCCTCCTGCTCATCAGATGAAACCGGCCAGACACCATCATCCACCTGAACTACAGGTACCAGGTACACGTCTGGGTCAAGGGAATCCCCCCACAAGCAGACATAAAAGTGTGTGTGTGTGGGGGGGGGGGGGGGGGGGGCTCTTCATTGCTAAATGATGCATCATCAGTGTCATTTAGGTTTACTATAGTAGCACAGATTAAATGGACAGCCTCAACAATGGAAGAAGCCTTCTGCAGATGCACACGTCTCTGCCGTCCAGATGCATTGACGGACCGTGTATGTGGATGTTTTCCTCATAATATTCATATAAACACCTATAATAATACGAGGGGTTTAAAGGCTATGAAGCAAAGACAAAATAAGCCAGAGGTGACGGTTTATGCATTTAACTAGAAATGTCATAAATGATCATCAGTGCTGATGAAATCTAATCCAGATCAGTCCAGGTCAGAATTATCATCTCATCCGTCTCCTGATCAGCAGCAGCTGGACGTTCACGGCCACAACATTCCACGTGAAGCACGCTCCTTTTTTGTCACGATCCATATTTCTGTTTAGAAGCCGCCTCTCCTCCATGGATGCAGCTGCCTGTCAGAGCGTCTGACCACTGGTTGGTCAGCTGATGCTGCTGTCAGGCAGTGCAGGAATGTGTACGGTGAGGGGAAACAGTCTTACTTTCTCTCCTCTGCCTGAGCTGAAGGTGACGTGCGGCCCTTCATGGAGCTCGTGCCAGACTGTGGATGACTGATGTTTGAGGACACACACACATCTTTTCACAAATCTCTGAGATTTCGACTAATGAATACCTGGAAACTTTACCGGTATGCACTGTACCCTAGAAAACGTGCTGGCATGCTGAAAGGTTATTTTTGGAAGTGGCGGTGGTGCTGGTACCGGTCCAATGCGCTGCTGTCTGTCCCTAAAGGAGGAGTCTGATGATCCGTTCCTGACAGCTGCTGTTTCTCCCTCCCTAACCCAGCCCACACGTCCAGCATTGCGCGCTGCGTGATGATTAAACTGGCCCAAAAACTCCACCGTAAACCAGTTCTCCCAAGATGACCATACAGGCAAGCCTGGACGTGCATCTGTGGCCAGAGCTTTCTCCTTTTCTGCTCCACCTTTCCTGGTCCGTCTAGGTCCATTTTGCCTCCGGGGCCAAAGGTGCAGTGGTGCTGTAGCTGCTCTGGGGTGGGGAGTGTCTGCAGCGCTTTGCCAGACCCCGACAAAGTGAGAGGAGGGGGTGTCTTTGTGCCTAGTTTGCTCCATTTGTGTGAGCATCAGGAGAGCAGATGCCCCGATGAGCTCATTTAGATATTACGCACGTCATGACCGGCAACCACTGGGTGGGCCAGGCCACCGGGAAATCTCTCGTCTCTCCCGATTACCAGTCCGCCACTGAAGAGATGTGTGTTAACGTAGAGAATGTGGGCTTTTAAACGCCCCCCCCCCCCCGCGCGGTCCGGCATCTGTTTGGCCTGTAGTGAACTTTGGGTTGACGTCAGTATTTGATTTACAAATGAAGCACTGTGTGTGACTGTGATTGGGCTGCTGCTCACACCGTCATCTTGGTTCCGGGATGCTAACGTTGCACACACGGACGAGGCGTACAACACCATTGTGGAGTGGCTTCACGACCACTGCTGACCTCTCATTGATTCACCAGACAATGCAGAACGTTTATAAAAGTCCCACAAAAAGAAACTGCATGGTGACACCCTGGTGACTTCATCAATTTATCACAGCAGCCCAATCAACATCTTTCCTGAAGACATAATCAATAGAAATGTTCTGCTTTCAGCTTATCTGATGGCAACACGTCAGAGTACTTTAGTGTTTTACTGTGAAGCGTAAACGCAGCCTTAGTCACAGATTTATCTGGAAAACAGGTTTGAAAGCAAATGAATCCGGTGCAGCTACAGCACATGAAATAATCCCACATTTAACCCTGATCCTTGCGTGTTCCCACACTGGTTCATATGTGGGAAAGACCCTTTACTCCCAAAAGCTGACATCTAAGGCCTGGTGCGCAGCAGAATAGTCCTGCTGAGTGGGGATGTCCGTGTAGCACACCATAGGATCACAACTGGTTCATCATGACTTTCTATGGCCATGTGGGGTCTCTCATGTCAGAGGGTTTGTAAATCCTGCCTTCTGAAGCACACCTTGGGTGTAAACCTAACGGTTCTGATGAATGCAACTGGACTTCTTTGGCTTCTTGAAGATGTTTCACTTCTCGTCCAAGGAGCTTTGTCAAATCTGACTGGAATATGGGAGACAAGCCTCTAAGTTGTAGCTGTCTGTCTTGCTAAAAAGAGCAGAAACTACATATGAATACCCATCCTCCATACACCCTGATGAGTCATTAGCCTCTATTGAGAGGGAGTCTTTGTGTTTTATTAGATGCAGGAAGGTGTGGCCTAGACTGAAACTGCATAGGAGCTGCAGCTTAGACATCTCATGGGGCTTAAAGGAGATGTACAGTTGGATGTCATCTGCATAAAGATGGTAGGAGATTCCTTTGAAGGAGCTCAGGATGTGCTGAAGAGGAAGCAGATAGAGGAGGAAGAGCAGAGGCCCCAGCACAGAACCTTGTGGGACACCATGGGTAAGAGAGGTGGTGGAGGACCTAAACTTGGAGACGGCCACAGAAAAGGAGCGCTCAGAGAGATAAGAGGAGAACCACTCCAGAGCAGATCCTGATAGGCCTACCCAGTCTCTCAGCCTCTCCAGTAGCAGGTGATGGTCAACAGTGTCAAAGGCTGCAGTCAGGTCCAGCAGGACCAGAACAGAACAGTCCCCTGCATCACTGTGAGTCAGAAGGTCATTAGAGACCCTAAGAAGAGCTGTTTCAGTAGAATGAGCTCTACGAAAACCTGACTGGAAGCTATCATAGATGTTATGTTCATCAAGAGCAGCTGTGAGTTGTTTAGCCACAACCTTTTCCAAGATCTTGGAGATGAACGGAAGTTTAGAGATGGGTCTGAAGCTGCTATGGAGAGAGGGGTCGAGACTCGGTTTTTTAAGAAGCGGGTGGATTACAGCGTTCTTAAAGTAAGCAGGGACCTGACCAGAAACCAGAGAAGCATTAATTATAGAGAGCACGCTGGGACCGATGGACTGAAAAGCACTTTTAAACAAAGATGAGGGTAAGATGTGGAGGGGGCATGCAGAGGTCTTCATAGAGTTAACTAGTTTGGTTAACTCAGGCAAAGAAACAGGAGCAAAGCTATCTAGGATATCAAACATGCCAGAAAATGTGTGCGAGCTTACGATTGCTTATCGGTAGCAGGTCACGTGGTGTTAATCGGTTCTCGTAACCCCCTGTATGCTACACAACGCTCACCGCAAATCTCGCCCCGATCTGGTCGATTCTTGCATGATGGCTGAGAAAAGTGAAAAAGTGGAACAGTGTCCACCCAGCTTAAGGATTAACGTAAATACAGTAAGATTGTTATTCACGCTGGAGGTGGAGACACCCAGTTATGCCCATCGGAGGTCGCTGAAATCAATGTTGCTTCTGTGTGTAACTTTATTTATAGATCCACTAGAATAAATACTACAGTTTATCTCTCACCCAATGGAATATTTACTAAGACATCACAGTGTAACCTGTGTGTGTGTGTGTGTGTGTGTGTGTGTGTGTGTGTGTGTGCGTGTGTGTGCGTGTGTGTGTGTGTGCGTGCGTGCGTGCGTGCGTGAGAGAGAGAGAGAGAGAGAGAGAGAGAGAGAGTAAATGTGCATTTTAAGCTAATTCTACTCCTACAGTTGCCGAGACATGGCTGTAAAGTGCAAAAGCTGCAAACAAATGTGGGTTTAAGAGGAAGAGTAATGCCTGCTTGTTGTGTAAGAGTGGGGGAGGATGAAGAGGAGAGCCACAAGCACACAGTAGGAAGTCTAAAAAATCTATCCGTGGCATTTCTGCCCAGCTTTCTCCCCCATCGGTGATTCCATTATCGCTTACTCATGCTTGGACTGCTTAAGCCTGCTTGTTGGACAATTTTCAAAGCGTGAGAGACTCCACACTAAAGTCATGGTTATACCAGTGGTGGTCCCACAGTGTGTGTTGTGCAGCTGCATGGCAAATACTAGAAGGAAGGAAGGAAGGAAGGAAGGAAGGAAGGAAGGAAGGAAGGAAGGAAGGAAGGAAGGAAGGAAGGAAGGAAGGAAGGAGGGAAGGAAGGAAGGAAGGAGGGAAGGAAGGAAGGAAGGAAGGAAGGTCTTTTGCTGTACAACTAACTTTACCACCTAACATCAGCACTTAGATGCTGCAAGTAGGTTCAAAAATCAAGCCTGGAAGCAGTTAGCGCCTCGAGCATCATCACAGTCATGGAGGTGGTGAGAGGACAACTGAAACTTTGAAATGTGATTGACTTCAACATGTGCAATCATCCCAGAACTGGACATTTTGATAAGAACAGGTCTAAAGACATGAACCAAAAAGATGCACAGAAGCTCTGAGTGGTACTCAC